CTGGTTTGGAAGTGCTCTATAATTGATGGCTGGATCACTGCGCCCGAGGTTAAACTCAGGTGTGTGTTTTCACTTTGGACGTGGCAGAGGTAACTACCCACCAATTCCACGGCACAAAACGATGAGGAGTTGGCTATTGGATGAACGTTGTGTGTGTGTGTGTGTGTGTGTGTGTGTGTGTGTGTGTGTGTGTGTGTGTGTGTGTGTGTGTGTGTGTGTACCTTAATTGCATTGTTGCGTATCAATAAGTTTTTTATATGGTTGATCTATCTGTGAATGTGTGTCAATGTGCTCGTCTATATTTAGGTCAGTATGTAATCACATATGTGCGTGCCAGGCTGCATTTAATTGATCGTATGAAAAATAAATCGTGGTGTAGAGTGGATCGTACATGCACCATCTGTGCCACCGTCCTGTGTACCCTCTCTTTATACCAGCTGACTCTGTCCACTAACATATCCTCCTTCTTCTCCTCCCACCACCAGCTGTCAGTGTCGGTGGACGGGCTGCACACGAGGAAGGGCACCACGGCTGGCCCCTTCTCCCAGCTGAGCTCCTCTCGTCTCCACCTGGGGGGCGCCGACGTGCCAGCCCTTCTCCCCGGTGCTGAGACCAGGTCTAACTTCGTCGGCTGTATGAGGAAGGTGAGTACAGACTTCCAGAGTTTTACAGGTATATATATATGCTAATTACAAGAAATATACCTGTCTTTCCTCTCTCACCTGGGATGCGATCACGTGTAAATGACCCAGGTATATTTTTTTATGAGTTACTAGTGTGTATGTACGAGGAGGATAAGTTAAAATACCCGCATAACATTTAGAGTTTGACGTATATTCAGATTAATTAAAGAGAGATATACCTGTCCCATATCACCTGAGCTGTGATTAACGCGTGGGATTAACTCATAGATGTCCTCCTGAATGGACGTAGGAGGAGGGTGGCACAGAGCCCATTCCTCCACGTCAGCCAATATGAATCACAACCAGTATTCCTCATGGGTCCACAGGTATCCCATGTTAATTAAAGGGTCGATACACGTGTTCTTATTCAACCGGTATGTGGCCGGGTACTGGGAACCTCCTCTCTCAAGACTTATTCCTGGTAATCTCTCTCATCTACCTTCCCTCCCCTTCCTCTACCTCCTCCCCATCTACCCCCGATTGTGTGTAGAACTCTCTGAATGAAGTCTCCCTCTGATGACCCGCTGCCCACGTCACACACACACACACACACACACACACACACACACACACACACACACACTCTCCACTTTGATCACATGTTACGTTAGTTTACTCGACGTTAATTGTGAAGTCATTGGAATTAGTCGCCTACTAGCTCTTCTTTTTTTTTTACCTTGATGACTTTGAGCGTAGATGTGACTATTTAATTTTAAAATCATTGGCAATTGAAGGTTTTTTGGTGCCTGACGCTTGTGAATGTTAGTCTTCGGTTATCTTATTGATTAAATTGTCTGGTTTGTGAATATTTGACTTTATAGTTTTTTCCTAGTTTTTTTTCGGATAACTAAACCTGGATTTAAGATTCGAGAGATTTATTAACAGTCCATATTATAAATCTTAATACAATTTTTAACGAGAAATAGTGACGTTGAATATATTGCCGTAATTCCGTATCTGGCATCAATACGGACGACTCGTTATATAGATACACATGTAAATTGAATCTTGTTTCCCTCGGGCGTTTCTCCAATCTGTTTTCTCTCCCGGTTCATCTCTAGAAAGATATCCATAATATATTCTGCCCCCCCCCTAGTCTCTTTTCCCGAGGCACAAAATATCCCACGCCTGAAATAGATCACTGTTTTACGCTGTATCTCACCAGGAATATTGGATATATTTCTTTGTACTGACGGCGACCTACATTTTTCTCGCCCTTGCCTCCCTTATGTTCATTTTCTTTAGTTGTTATATGTCCCTCTTACCTGTTTATTATTTTCTTCACTTTTTTTGTTTATTCTCTCTCTCCATCTTTCGTTACTTTTTTTTTAATTTTCTCTTGTTTACTTTCTTATAACATAACTCTATATTCACCTAACACACCATTTATTATTATTATTATTATTATTATTATTATTATTATTATTATTATTATTATTATTATTATTATTATTATTATTATTATTATTCACTCTACATCAAACACCATCAATATTCAGTCCACCAATACGAATATTTTTTTTTTAATATATATGAAAATAAGACACGTAAATTAAATGCAATATTAAAAGTTAACTCTAAATTCAGCCCCCCCCCCCTAAAAATATGGTAATTTTCCTCTGCGCTGGGAAACATATTGTCGATTTGCTCAGTATGAAATATGGATGAGAGCGATAGGGAGGGAGTTGAGCAGAGCATTACGGCAGTGAGCGCTGTTCCTCGGTGATGGGAAGGCGACGTGTTTACAGCTGAAGGAAACAAGATCACCTCGACTTACCTGATGTATACGACAAACAGACGGATAAGCAGGAACATGAAGAACATACGTACAGTCTCTCTCTCTCTCTCTCTCTCTCTCTCTCTCTCTCTCTCTCTCTCTCTCTCTCTCATCTACGCTTTCCCGGCCCATCCACTTTACGCTCATGACGTAATAGGCTTACACGTCATAACAAGAGGTCAAGGTGAAAGGTCAATAAAGTGAGTATACTGTGGTCGAGGCCTCGGTCAAGTAATACCCTGAAAGCTTTTATGTTACAGCGAAACTCCCCCTCCACCTCCCTCCCTCCCCTCCCCTCCTTCCCCCCCACCCCACCCCCAAAAAAAAACCCACGCCATCTTTTTTTTCTTCTCCCCAGTGGACCATTTACGAGAGTTTCGAATTACTCATAGATTTTTTTTCGTTCCAGCAATGTTTCAGGGTATTTTAGAAGTAGATTTTTTTTTATAGTTCATTAATTTATATGTAAAAGTGATTCAGGTTGGAAATATATTCAAGTTTAGTGGAGTCTTTCATTAAAATATACAATAGTAACGTTTTTCGTCGTATTTCAGAATAATTTTTACTATTTCACTCATTCAATATTATTCGTATCACATGAAGATTAGACACCCCTAGCTTAATTAGTTCCCTTGATGTTTAAACAGTTATAAACGCTAAATTAACCTAACCTAACCTAACCTAACCTAATTCTTCAGGCAATATTAGGGTATTTAATCATCAGCTAATTTTCACATGATCTTTTTTATCAAATTCTCTCTATTAAGCAAGTTTAATCACAGTTTCTATCCTTTAATTTATCACATTCCAACCATTCTTCCCACCAGTAACAGATGTGCACATTATTAAGACTCCGTAATTACTCACTAAGAAGCTAAACCACAACCATACATCCATACATACATTCATACATACATACATACATACATACATACATACATACATACATACCCAAAATCTTCAGTCGTTGTTTCAAATGTCTTCAAGAAGTGTATAAAATTCTAGCCAACCCCTTTTTTTCATTTTTATCAGTCCTGTCATTCATCACCCTTCCCCCTCCTTCCCTTATTTCCCAAGAGGGCTAAAGGGAAGGTTAAGAGAGAGAGCAAATATGGGTTAAGGTTTTATCATATGCAAAATATATTCGTTACCTTTGGGGCACCTGTTCTCCCTCATTTATTTTGGGATTGGAAGAGGATAGATAGATAGATAGATAGATAGATAGATAGATAGTGGTTTGTCTCTTACATCCCAGCTTAAACTTTATAGATAACTTTCCTATACTTCTGCTAACAGTTATTTCCTCCTTTCTCTCTCTCTTCCTTCTCCTCCTCTCCTCTTCCCATTCATCCTTCCATAGGGCGCCTCCTCGATTTGCGTCAGGTAACCATGGTAACGATGACGCCACCAGCCATCATAGTGCTTTACACACACACACACACACACACACACACACACACACACACACACACACACACACATACACGTTAACTAGACCGAAATACAAACAGTCAGAACATCAAACAGACAGACAGACACAGAGACGTACAAAGAGAAGGAGTTGTAGCCATGAAGTTGAACTGGGAGAGGTCAGTAAATATACTTCCACAGAACATGAATAGAAATGGAGAGGCCAGATGAAGTCACTGAACATCAAATAGAGTCAAGAACGAGAGTTAATACTTGTAATGGTAAATAATAATCATATAAGAGCAATCCGCCTACGTATATCATGTGTAATAATATATAAACGCGTGAGATATAAAACAGACAGACGGAATAATAATAAAATTCCAAGATACGACCGAATATCCATTAGGGGTAAAATGAAAAACATAAACTTCTAGAGAGATATTAACGAGACAAATAACGATATATTACGTTAGCGAGAGATAAAAACGTGATATAGAAATACATTAGTTATAGCAAGAGATAGAAAAATATTGATAGACCGAAATATCAAGAGGTATAGTGAGTATTGTACACTAAGGAGTCAGCAGGAGTAGACGCTGGCCAACACACCATGACCGGGGGAACGTTGACGTAAATCCAGATCCGTGTGTGTGTGTGTGTGTGTGTGTGTGTGTGTGTGTGTGTGTGTGTGTGTCCGACCCTCACACACCACCACAATGGTTCCTGTCGACGCTTATCATGTGAGACGTGATGCCTGCCTATACCTTCTTCCTTTTTGTTCTTATTCTTGTTGTTCTTCTTCCGTCTCGTTATCGTCATCTCTTCTTAATTTTGGCTTCTTCTCGTGTTCGTCACCTTCCTCATCGTTATCGTCCTCATTTTATTAACACTTTGTTTTCTCATCTTTGTCTCTTTCCTCTTTGTTTTATCGTTATCTTCTCTTAGTTGTTTTCTTTTTTCTCATCTTCGTATCTTTCTATTTCGTTTTTTCTTCCGTCATTATTTTTTATCGTTATTCTTCTCTTGTTTATTAATATTCTTGTTTCATTCCATTTCTTCTCTTTATTTCTACTCTTGCCATCTCTTTATACCTATCTTTATTTTTTCTTTATTTCCCTGATTCTTTTTCTCATTGCTAGTATTTTCCCTCTTTTGTTTTCTTTCGTTTCTGCTGATTATATTTCCTCCTCGTGTTACCATCTTCGTTATCTTGTTCTTATCTTACTGTTCTTTTCTTCTTTTCTCTCTCTTTCTCCTATATTCATCATTTTGTTGTCTTTCTTTCTTCTTATTGTTCCTGTCTTCATCATCGTCTAGTTTTTAACTCTGCCACTGTTGCTATCTTCATCAGCCTGTTGCCACCTCCTCCTTCATGCAGGGAGGGAGGGAGGGAGGGTGAGAGGTGTAGGCGGATGCAACCTCCTAGAAACCGCTGTTGATTTTCCTCTTTAATTCATGTCTCCCGGGACGTGTTGCTGACCCACGCCTGCCGGATGCCCTTACCACGCCCACGCCTCCTGTAAGATCTTAATACGGTTTCTCCCACGCATGCCGGGTGTTCTTACCATCACTACGATACCGTGCTCCTCCTCTCTCCCTCCCCTCTTTCCCATATTACCGGCACAGGACAACAAAACACCCGTGAACGAGTCATCCCCGCCGTTCACTCACCCTCCCTCTCTCCCTTTCTCCCTCCCTCCACCTTCAGCTTAACCTCCCAAATCCGCAAAACAAACGCCAATCTGCTTGGAACTTTTGCACCAGCGAGAATCTCCACAAACAGAAACACCCTGCCAACAAACAAAGGTGATAATGTCATTGTATATTGCGTCAGTGAGAATTACGCAAATACATATGTGAAGCAAACAAACAAACATTAAACTGTGCTTGTTTGTACCTGGGTAAATAAAGAAAGGTCAACGTGTGATTGTTTGTTTTTTTGTTTTGTTTTTACTTCAAATAAATGTTAGAACTGTATGACTGGCGACGCGCGGGAATTCACAAACAATAGTGAAAGTGTTTGGGATTTTTGCCTCAATGCGTTTATCTCCTTCCCGCTGCTGCTGGTTGGCTGAAGCTCAACCTATACGTCATGGTGAGGAAAGGAAACGTTAGTAATGAAAGAATAAAAATTAAAGGAAAAACAACTATAGGAAAAAGGAAAAATGTAGGAAAGTAACATATATTTTCTAACAAAGTAGATGATGATAATAATAATAATAATATAAATAATAATAATAATAATAATAATAATAATAATAATAATAATAATAATAATAATAATAAAACTAAAAATAAATGAAAAATACAAAAGATGTTTTGACTGGAGTGAAGAAGCATTTAAGATGAACACACACACATACACACACACACATACACATACACACACACACACACACAGAAGACACCTGTTCGAAGTAAACTGGAATATTTAAAGTAGACAGCCAACAAAATAGTGACTTATCCCTTACATGATATCTGGGAATATTTTTTGGGGCGAACAGATTATCACCTTTAAAGAGCATTATTTATTAAAAATCAATCGCCCTGCAAACTCTGTCAGTGGAACCAAATATTTATATGTTGTTTTTTTTTTCAGTCACGAGTGCAAGGCTTATGAGCTTAACACGGGAGACTTATTAATTATGACTTCCCGTGTTGGTAATTTCAGTTAGTGTGACCCATTTTTATTATGATCGGTTTTCTGTCACTAAATATTTGTCATATCTCTCATTAAAGTCCAATTTTTCAGCTTAGAATTTTGTTTCGGGGGGTTAGTGATACTTTTAGTTTTTTGCCAGTATTTATCATAGTTTATCTCATAAATTTCTCGTTTTCTTCCATTTGGATTCTTGGAGTCACCTTTTCTGTTATATACGTCACTGCAATTGTTCCTCCACCCTACAACTGTCTTATGAGAGTTAATATTATCTTTTTATCATCTTCATCCTCACAAACTGTTATTGAAGTAAAGGTACACATGACTGTCTTGATACACCAGAGTCGAATAACATCCCAATTATTGTTCTCAAGGCCACAACAGGTGGTTGTTTATGTGTCTAGGATAAATAACCCGATATTAGTATAATGATGTTTTCAACCTTTTCGAGATTGACGGTGGTGGTAGTGGGAGGTAAAATTATTGGCGTGGGTTGTGTGTGGGTGTGGTGGTGGTGGTGATGGTATGGTAGTGAGGCAGCTTCCAACACACACACACACACACACACACACACTAGTGCCACAATCTCTTTTCAAACAGCATCAAGACTCTCCCATAGCTGCTTCCTCCCTCTCCTTCTCCCTAAGACTGTTTACTGGCAATACCTTCTCCCATCCACTCTCCCAGAAGCTAAACAATGACATAGAAATCCGCAAACTTAAAATCTCACACAATTCTAAAATCTCTCTCTCTCTCTCTCTCTCTCTCTCTCTCTCTCTCTCTCTCTCTCAGGTTGTTTTAGCAACTCGTCTCTGTACAGTCTCTGGGGTCGATGATGTATGGGGAAGGTGGGCGGTGTTGGATAGTGTTACTGAATTTTTTATTTTTTCGACATATCGTATTTTTGTATTGTATTTTTTTTTCCGGTTTGTGTGTATTGTATTCTGTGTATGATTTATTTAAGGTGTTTTTTTTTAATATCTACAGTATACACACTGACTCGACAACCACACGCCCACACACACACGCCCACACACACGCCCACACACCCACACACACACGCCCACACACACACGCCCACACACACAGACAGTCGACGTCCTCTTGCGTATATAACAAGCCATAAAAACACATTCACTCTACACCTTGATGACTTCAGAGATATGGCAGGAGGTTAGAGGTAGAAGAAAAATTTATTATTTACATTGACAGAGAAGAAAGGGAGAGAGAGATACAAAGTGGGAGAGAGAGAGAGAGAGAGAGAAATAGAAACTGGGAGATAGTAAGAAAGAATGTGAAATGGATACTGAAGAGAATGGTAGAGGGAGATAGAAGGGACATGAGAAAGAGAGGAGAGAAACTAAGAGATACAGAAAGTAGGAGAACAAAAGGGGATGATAAAGGAGAGACACAGGGAGATTGGAGAAATGGATAGTGGGAGACAGTAATAAGAGGACAATAGATGGATAAAAATAAAGGAAATGAGAGAGGGAGATGACTAGAGAGAAAGTTAATTAGAAAATGACAAACAAAGTTAAAGGAAAGGTGTAAAGGAGAGTATTTAAGGGAGAAGACTAGGAGACCACCTAAATGAGGATAGATAAAGGGAGGGAAGGAGATAGAAGGGTAGAAGGGAGGGGATGAGATGAAAGGGAGGGAAGTAGTGAGGTGAATTACACAGATTAACTTTATTTCTACTAAAAGTAAAAATTTCTGCTCATTTTCAATTTTCTCTCTCTCTCTCTCTCTCTCTCTCTCTCTCTCTCTCTCTCTCTCTCTCTCTCAAGTTCACTAAAACTCACTCTTCCTACAAGTAAACAAAATAGTTTTCATGTCTTTTCTTTACAAATTAAAAAAAAAAGTTTCCATTGGAACATTTCCCCCCCTTGGAACCGAACACAAGAGCCGTCTAGGAATGTACATTGACTCGTATGTCGCCCGACGTCCTTCCTTTGTACGAAATGCCATTGAAGACGCAGTTGAAACCCCCCTCAGCCTTCATATCAAAAGTCTGAAGTCTTTTGAAAACATTCATTTATAGACGTGTACAAATAGATCAATTAACACAAAGAAATCCTCCCCAAAAACAGTTTCTCTTAGCCGCAACAAAGTAGGAGGGAGGGATACAGGATGAGAGAGAGGGGGGTAAGAGAGAGTGTAGAGAGTAAAGAGAGAAAGAGGGATGCGATAATTAAGCAGAGGCAGCCAGAATAGGAGAGTTTGCCCTGGTTACACCTGGGTGATGACGTCAGCAGGGTGCGGGGGTGTGGACTTAAAGGAGAACTGGGCGTGGTGACTGGCTGGGTGGAGGCAGCGAGGTGTGGCTCCACCCCACTCCTACTGCTGCCGCTCCGCCTCCTCCTCCTGTTGCTGCTCCTCTGTAAACTACCAATATATTGCTGTTGTCTCCTTATCCACACTGCCGCTGGTGCCATTATTACTTTTGGAGCTGTAAATATACTGCTACTCCACCTATTACTGCTTCTGCTGCTGTCCCTGTCGATACACCTGCTGTTCTATAGTGCTGTTGGATGGGGTGTAGCCTACTACCATCACCCTCTGTACCGTTTACACTCTCTCTCTCTCTCTCTCTCTTTCTTTCTTTAACTCTCCCACTCTCTCTATTTCCCCCCCACACACATCTTAACCATTCTGACGCACATCCGCACTATCTGTACATTAGCTATGACTGCCCACTCACTCTCTTTTTCTCTCTCCCCCCCTCATCCCCGTCCACCTCCCACTTACCTCCCTCTCTCACTCCCTCTCTGCCACCGTCCATGCGCCCATCCATCATAAGTTAGGATAAAGCATCTCGCTAAATCGGTAGCTGGTGGGCGAGTGTCCAGCGGCCTGAGTATGTGAGTATAATGACACACACACGCGGAACTAATTACGAAAAGATGTGACAAATAGAAAGATCAGGAAGAGACAGAAAAGGAGGAAGGGGAAGAGAAGCGGGAGAAGGGAGAGGAAGAGGAAGAGCTATTGTATATTTTCCAATCATTGATGAAGCAGATATGTGTGTGTTGCGGGGGGAGAGAAGTGTTGAATAGAAACGATTGATATCTCGGATTCTCAAGGCTTCGTAATAATTAAAATATTCCTCGTCATTGAAGATGTAAGAACGTACTAAACTGACTGACTTAAAACCTATAAAAGAAAAAAGAACTAAAGACTATTCCCACTTAGTTACGTTCACTTATCTGCAGTTACGTTCACATAACACCAGTAAAACGCCAGCCTTTCTTGAGACCTGTCCCCATTTTTCATCAGGTCTGGACATCTGACGCGTACTATTGGGTCAAGATGGAGGAGCAGAGGGGGGTGGAGAGAGAGAGAAGGGATGGGGAGGATAGGGAGACTGGGGAAGGAGAGGAGGAATGGGCTGGACTATACTAAGATTATGTTAGGTTCAGAATCCCCATGAACCCAGAATAAAGTGAAGAATGTGAGAGATGAGACACCACTACGGTTATAATATCTAATGGAATGGTTTGATATTGGGAATGGGATTGTTAATGGGATAGATGGAGTTACTAATGGGGCAGATGGGAGGGTATCACCGTGTTTCCTCCCCATGTGTGTGTGTGTGCAGATCTCAAGAGGTTGGGAGGGAAACTGTTGTGTTCCTGCTTCATTATCCATAAGGTCATCTTTTCTGTTTACTTGTTATTATAATTGAATCTCAGCAGCAGTCTCCCTAAGACATGTGTCGGATTTAATAGTCTCACTCTACCATCCTTGGAAATGCGAGTGTCTTAATTCTATTGTTGTGTTTCATCATTAATCACTTTAACCTCATAAGAAATTGGCTTTATAATATTCAGAAACGTAAATTTGTTTCTGATTTGTGTTGCAGTTAATGTATTGATGTTTATGTGAGGTAATGAATTATTTTAATGTTGCAGGTGAATAAATGACCTACTATGTTGTTTTGTGGCAGTTTATAATGTGTCTTTTATTTTGCTTAATATGTTGTTTTTGTATTGCAGGTAGAGTACCGTGCAGACAGCGTGAGGTTGGATGTTATAAGGACAGCTCGTCAAGGCAGCCCGCTCCTCCACGTCAAGGGCAAGGTGGACTACATGTGTCTTGAGGTGGAGGCTGGCGACCCTGTCTCCTTCACCACCCAGGAATCCTACTTGGTTAGTACTTAACCCGCCTACCGCCCTCACCCGCCCCACGCCCACCACCATCTTTCCATACAGGGGCTGCTCACTAAAACCCATCTTCTAGACATACACATATGAATGTGTTAAATCTCGTCCACATTTACTCTTAGGGACAAGCCTTCGTCCACATGGGTAGTCCTTCATCGTCATGCAGTATATGTACACACAAGGTTATTCTTCACACACACACACACACACACAGACATTTACATACACAATGCACTCTGCAAAAATTAGCACTACCATTAAACTCTGTGGGTAATAATAGCCAAAGCATTTCAATATCCTACAAACTCTGAGTGACAGAATGAGGTTGTTAGGGGGATAAGTTCAGTCGAGGTTATACTTATAAAAACCTTAGGTATGCCTCCACACATTCTCTCTCTCTCTTTCCATATTGTAAATACACACTCACAGAATGAGTGAGAAGATTAACCTCTTAAGTAGATAATGGTATATACTATGCCAAAGAATTGAGATCATTCATTGTAGAAGTACTGTACTGAATATAACTGAATAATCAAGTCAGTCAGGCTATACTGTAAACTGACTTCACGGTTATTTCCTTAGCTTGATAACATAGTGTGTGTGTGTGTGTGGTGTGTGGTACAAATTCATATACCCTGTACAACAAATACGTATACACAAGCGCATCACATAATAGAATATGAACACCTAATACAGTACACTAAGAAAGTTTGAAATTTGACCAAAACCTGAAGAAGTGAAAATTTTGCAATAAATGATGTGTTACTTTAGGCAAGAAAGGGGGAAGTGAGACAGGCCGGCAGCAGTGTTGCTTCACTCCCATCACTTTCCTTCACTCACTCACCCGTGGCTGGTCCACTCTCACTCACTCTCGTATTAACTCTCCTCTGCGCTGCCTGGTCTGCCTTAACACTCAAAATCAGTAGTACAGTATTTTGTTATTATGTTGTTGGAAGTACACAGCTTTATTATGTTTTAATTGTATTTTACACCATACTTGTTGACTCTTTCTTGTAAACATTAGTTGCAATTAGAGTACACAGCTTTATGTCTTGTGTTTATTATATATCTCACTCACCTGACTTCTCTTTGTAAACATTAGTTGCAATTAGAGTAGAGAGTTTTACAAAAGTTGTCTTGGATGATGAAGTTGAACTGAGCCTGACCCTCACACAGGACGGGCCGGAGAATGGCGTGGTTAAGTTCACGCGACCCGACACCGCGCTGGTAAGGTTCCAAGAGACGCCACCTGCTGCTGCACCATCTATATTACCAATTGCACCACCACTTGCACCAGCTGGCCCTCATCATCACCACTGACAACTGTTGCTACACCACATTCACATTCACTATCACCAGCTGGCTGTAACCATGTGCACCATCACTATCACCAGCTTGTTGCATGTCTTGCACTGTGCTCGTATAGACATGTGGGACACTCAAGGAGGGAACAAAACAAACCATTAGGATAGGAACTAATTATGACATCATGTGAGAAAGTACTAATCCTGAACTAACCAATTTATTATAGGAGCTCTTTTAGGTTAGGTATGTTTGGTTTGGTCTTCTTGAAAAACCTATAAGTATTACAGCCGCATAGGGCCAAAATAATGTAGCAGTTACCTTGCATTGTGATGTCTTACAGCAAGACCTTATCCTGAATGGTATGTTTTAACTCGCAACTCATCCCCTTTAGCAAAGAACATGACAGATTACAGTAAACCTATTTTTTACACAAAATTAAGGAAACCAAAGATTGAAAATACAGTACCCCTGTACTGTATATATATTCTGAAGTAAATTTGGAAGAGGTTATGCAACACACCTCATGAGTGTCCTGTGTATCAACCGAGCCTACTATCTTCTAGCACTCGCCAGATTAGTTGTCATCATCTGCTTGCTTATTTACTCATGTTCTATGTATTTCTGATATGTTTTCATTTTATTTTTCTCTAACTTTTCCTCATGGCCAGGGCCTGTGGTGAACCTCGACCATCTCACGGCTTCTGACTCACCGTTGTTATGGACTGTCACCATCACCGAAAGCACTTCTGTATATCCAGCACTTACTGTCCATCTTTCTTTCTCTCTTGCTCACTCTTACTTGATGGTCTCTCCCCAGTCCTAACCCTGCGTCTTTGTTTCAGAGTTTGCCTTCCTGTAGTAGGCCACATCTGTTGCTTCTCCATTAAAATCCCTACGTCAACTAATGAAGCTCTTTCCAGGTTCTTCCCCTAACTGCTACCACAACCTCATTTACAAGTGGTGGATTATGTATATACAGTATATATCAATAAGAGTCTCACATGACAGGCTATAATGTTAGGTCCTCAGTGCAATACAGCAACCCTCAACACCTTCCCCTCCACCACAAACCAACCAGTCTTCCAGCATATGTTTTATCCCCCCCCCCCACTGCAGACACTAAATCTTCAGCAGATGTTTAACCCTTTCACTTTCACAATGAAACCTGAAGAGTATTTTCCCTTTTATTACAACAACCATTCCTGCCAATTTTTATCCCCTTACTACAACCACAAATCCTTCAGATATTTTATCTACATCAGTCTTCTGGCAGGTGTTTTTACCTCAACTCCCTTAAAAAGTTTTCCAACTCTATTCCTACATTTTATCCTCAAGTTTTAATGCTGGTTATAGTTTCCTACTCTCCTGGAGTCACCATTTCACATCCAGTTATACTTTATTGTTGTTTAAACTGTATACCCCTCTAGACCTGAGATCACATCCTTTGCTGGGAATGTGTTCTTTCATCTGTCTCTTTCCCTCAAAGAGAAAATCCCAAACTAAGATCCATACTTGATAACTTTTTAATTAATTCTGAAGACTAAATGACTTCTTCCAATATCACCCCTTTTTGACTATTTATTACTCTGTTTTCTCTCTCTGGTCTCGCTCATTTTAGCACAGCATTTGTAACAGCACCAGCACCATCACGGCAGCTGTCTTTGTTTTCATGTCGCACAGCACCGCACTATTCCCCTTCCTTTCGCACTTGTTACAACTGTCTTAGCACTAACACCCCACCTCTCTACAGCACCAGGTCTCTTCCCTTATGAGCACTAACTCTAAACTAACCCTCTCCTTCCGCACGGGCCTTTGGTGTACTCACTGTGTATTTGTGTTGCCTCCCTTCATGGGTGTCAAGTGATGTTGGTGTGAGTGTGTTCACTAATGCACTACTAACTCAGGGTGCCACTAGGAAAGGAAGATGTTTACTTGGCCCCTTTATCTCAGTGGCATACGTAGATTAAAATCACTAATAGGGCCTAAACTTTCTATCTGATAAGTACAATATTGAGAAGATATGGATTAATTTTCTATATAAAAATAAAAATAAATAATAAAGAATATACAGTACAGTGGAGTTATATTTCACATGAGCTTATTTTTTAAAACCAAATGCTCTCAGTGTGAACCGTATTTAACTAATATTAATTTAATTATTTGGGGCCTAATCTCAAAGCTGAAAAGTCTTATTCTTTTTCCCAATTTTCTAATTTAAAATGATACCTGTTATCTTATTCTTACCCTAATTGTACAGTACTGTACCTCTAAACAAATTTCTTGCTCTGATATTGTACTTTTTACATGATTTCTTATTTGAATATTGTACTTTGTACCAGATTTCTTAACCTAATAAGTTCCTGAATTTACCCAATTATTTTCCCCTCCTCCACATTCTTGTCCATACAGTATACTGTATGTCAGCTGTTCCCTTCTTTATTCCAAGATAAATTTCCTTATCCACATTCCCAAGTAGTTGACCTATTCTGTCAATACTACAGTATACAGTACACTTATCTGTACAGTATTTAAACTATATTTCTAATCTTCCACCTACAGCATTAAGTAACCTAACACGTTGACATAGCCCCTTTACCTCCTCCACTACTTCCCAGTTCCTAATGTCTCCTCACAGTCCCATTACCTTTCCCACTAACTTGTAATATCCCATTGACCCATTGACATATAATTTCCCACTTAATCTTTCCTTAATATTTGCTGTGTCTCATGTGTACCTTGCCTACAGGTGCTGCCTTCATGGGAAGCTGCACGCCAAGGTTCAGTCAGCTTCAAGATGCGCACTACCGAGCACAATGGTCTGATCATGTTCAGCTCAGGCTTTGTGGCTGCCCAGGTCAGTTTTAGTTTGTTTATCCACTTACTACAATTGAAGCCTGTGTGATGCATCTACTTTTTCTCGAGCCATCACAATAATATTTCTCTACAAATTCTCGGCCATCATGTATTTCTTTCCTGATTTGTAGTTAGTTAATATTCAAGACTTAATTTCTAACTCTTGTATAAAGGGTTAGAATACTGCGTTTCCCCCAGCTTCATAAAGGCATTGAAGTAATCATTAGTTTTGCAGCTCTGTACAGTACAGTACTGTATTGGCATTTAATTGTCATATTAACGATGTGAACATTAATTTTTCTCTGTTGCTTATTAAACTAGCACCTCATTCATGGATAAGTGACTACTACAAGTACTGTACAGTATAATTCAAAAGCCAAAGGAGTTCTGGGGGATTGTCTTTAACTTAAAGCCAACTAACTCTTCTTTTGTTTTCTTTTCTCAAGGGTGACTTCTTTGCCTTGGAGTTGCTGGAGGGTCACCTGTACCTGCACTTGAACCTTGGTTCAGGATCACGCCGGGTCAAGGCCACAAACCGAAGGGTAGACGATGGCTGGTGGCATGAGGTTACATTGAACCGAGATGCCCAGGCTGGCAGAATCACAGTTGATGAAGGTGCTAATGACTTCACTACACCAGGTGAGGAAGGAGAGAATAAGACAAAACATTTGGCTTACCCTATAATATGATCTTTAATATTGTAAAGAAGAAAGACATAGGAGAGGGAAAAATTATATTGACTTCTGTACTGTACTGAAAATTGAGGAGGCATTTAATTTTATTAGCTACTTTTAGTCCCCAGTGAACTTCACTCTACTGTGGAGAAGTCACATGAAGGAGAGATAATAGGAATGGGGAAAATTAAATAACTTTAGAATTATCATGTTTAGCAAAAGGAGAAAACAAAATTTGCATTATGTACAGTATTTCCCTTATTACTCACAGTAAGTATGGTCATTATCTCCACTACTTGCACCTTTAGGAGAATCTCATCGCTTGGATCTCGATGGTGCCCTGTATGTTGGTGGTGTGAGCAAAGGCGTGGTTGTGCCACCTGAACTCTGGACTGGAAGGCTAGGCTTAGGCTATGTGGGCTGCCTTAGAGATTTGGTCATCAATGGACTCCCAGCAGACCTTGCATCATATGCCAAGAAACAAGATTCAGGTACGTGTTGGTGAATCATTCAAGCATGTGAATATTTTTAAGAAATTATTGTTTACTTCTCCGTTGTCAGCTAGAGTGGCTATTTCATTAATCGCAAAATTATTTAATTGAGCAGTGAAACTATGGATTGTTTTCTAGTACAGTGTATTGAAAGATTGAGAAGTATATAAAGTAGGAAAATATAATAAAAAATTTGATGATAAAACCTGCACATAGGTTTTTTATTAATTGACCTTCCATTTTATAGTTACCTGTACTTTAGCTTTATCAGTATAATAGTATGTTAGTTAGATTAACTAATATATTCATGATAAACCAGCAAAAGATGAAGTCAAGCTCACTCATGCAAATTATCATGGCTTGCCACCCACAGGTTCTATTGTCAGTTTCTGCCATAGTGATGGAGGGTCATGCTCATCATCACCCTGTATGCATGGGGGTACCTGCACTGAAGGTTGGGGCCGTTTCATCTGTGACTGTTCCCACACAGCCTTTGTTGGTCCCACCTGTGGCAAGGGTAAGTGCCTGGTTGAAAGCCACTCCACAACTTAAAGGTGGAAAAAGGATTTGATAAGGCCTAACATATTGATGTGTCTTCTTTTTTTCATATACAATAAATCCATTTTTGAGAACTTGAACAATAATATTTAATTACAGTAATGTTCTTGTGTGTCTGCAAAAACAGGCTGAGTAGAAGGTATTTTATGAATCTCCTTAAAGAGAAGACATCATATGAATGAATAATTAAAAGGGAAGAGTTCACCCATAGGAATTGATAAAGAAATGACTCATTGAAAGGAGGTTTTGATACCAACATAATTTTATGAACACTTTACAGTATATTATTTTTCATTATGTCCCCACAGATGCAGCAACTCTCAGCTTTGATGGTACACAGTATGTGCGAATGTTTTCTGACCAAGAATCCAACACCCAGGCAGAAGATATTACCTTCAGGTTCCGCACTGATCGACCCGTAGGGCTCCTCTTCGGTACAACCTCCATTCAGTCCTCAGACAAGCTTGAGCTTGCTCTTCAGGCTGGAAAACTTAGACTCACAGTCAAACTTGGAGACAGAGACAAGGTAAGGAAGGGGATAATGCAAATGCTTGGAAGGAAGGAACTGAAAGAATAGGGATAGGATAAATAAGGATGAAATCATGTACTGGACTGAGGAATGAAGTGATGGATGACTGGAGAGTGAAGGTAGAGAAAGATAATGAAAAAAGGAAATTTACTGGTGAATTGGACTGTCATCATACTGTAAAAGCAGTTATAATTGTTTCGAGAAAAAATGGGGGATATTCAGATATGAGCAAAGTATTTTGTACTAAAGAGGGAAGGATGATTATGTTAAGTGCTAAATATCAGCTCTATAAAAATAACGGCATAGTACCAATAGCAAGATAGCTAAAAATTTTCTCATTAGATATCTTTAAAGGATATTGTGGAGTTGTATGAAGAGGTTTAATACTCTTTAAGAGAATCACATATACGGTAAGTTATGTCTTGCAGGTGGTGCATGCTGGCAATGGTCTGAATGACCAGCAGTGGCACTCTGTTCGTCTTACTCGGCGAGCTACTCAGATCTCACTGCAGGTTGACAAAGAGACACCTACTCTTGGTAAGTTATATTTCATCCTTTCTTAGGCTTTGGGAATCATGTTGAACTCCACCTTTTAAAAATACATGTCATAATTAGTCTTGTTCTCACTTAGGAAGCAACAAATGTTTCTTTTCTTTTAAGCCAACATGAGACATACTGCTCACTTTTATCTCTTCAAAAATTTAATTATTCTAGCCCTCACTTTGCACAAAACATATTTTTCCAATATTTTGTACAGTTTATTTCACATTCTATCTTTCATACCCCCAATAGATCACACAATGGGCCGTCATAGTATCCTCCAATACCGTGATATTCATATTGGAATGGTCAGCAATGATTCCACTACCAATTGGAGACCACATTCCTCTCCTGCTTCTGCCTCAGCAGCATCTACATTATCCTCAATGACTTCTGATTCTGCATCTACCAACCAGGGTTCCATACCTCCTTTCATAGGACAGATACAGAGTTTCTACATCAATGGAAATTACATATTTGAAATGGCACGTGCTGGACATTTGAACAGGATGAAGGCAAGTTTTAAAAATTTGACTTACATACGAAAGAAGGATGATGAATATGTTTACTGAATAAAAAGCTAGTCTCCTAATGAAAGTTTTGATGAAGCTCTCTTGTGTAATTTTAGTGTTTGTACATCTAATCATACTGTTCTTGGGTATCTACAGGATTTAAAGTACTGTACAGTATTTCAAAGGGGTAGAGGGCAAAAATTATAAAAGGCAGAAATCTAGAGATATTACGTAAAATCTGATGACTTTTAGTATTGTTACCAATTTATAATAATTCTTCATCTTTCTTGAAGTAAATATATAAAACTAGTTTAAAGCCTCCCATCACTACCATAAATTTGTTTAATTTCTAAAAATAATATCTTCAGGTGACAGCTGAGTTTGGAAGGGGAACCCAGGTGGTCCACCACCCAGTCACCTTCAAGTCTACAGCAGCATATGTAGCTCTTCCACAACTGAAGGCCTATGCTTCTACCAACATTTACTTCCAGTTCAAGACCCTCCAGCCAGCAGGCCTCCTTATGTACAATGGAGGAAAGGGTAAGAGATGCTATTAAATTGAGGTGATAAAAATAATGTTTACTGTACTTAATACTTTACAATTTGGAGATTTATAAAAATTACCGGTACTTAAGAATTTTGCTAATATATAAGATATAGAATTATCTCCTGTTACTATTCAGATATCTTCACATCTTCCTCCACATCCACCCAACCTGCCATGTACAGTACCTGTAAATTTTCCCCTTTTCTCAAACATTTTCTGGCACTCCTCTCCTTTCTCATATACAGTACTTTATTTGCTATCCATATCCATATAGTTTACCATACTGTACTGACATCAGATTAATTTCCTTAGGTCATGATTTTATTGCCTTGGAACTTATCAATGGTCATGTCCACCTCAACTTTAACCTGGGAGACCGACCAGTAAGAGTACGGGACAACAACAAGATGGCTCTCAATGACAACAAATGGCACGTGGTAACTGTAAGTCGTCCCTCATCACTCCAACATACACTGATGGTTGATGACAACATTGCCACTGTCACTAATGGTGGTGGTAGTGACAACTTGGACCTTCAGGGTTTCCTCTACTTAGGTATACAATTTGTTTTTCTTGAGGCTAACACCCTTGCTTTTCTACCTTTAAGGCATTTATAGAAATAAACTTTAACTGGCAATAATAATATCGTATAATATTTAATTTCCTGATTGAAGCATACTTTTGTTAAGAGAAGATATTCCATAGTTTGAGATCTGTAGCACAAATAAAGAAAAACATAATAAGATACAGGTAGTTATATAAATCCCTGGGTTGGTGTTACAATAAAGCTGAACCTAGTCAATATTAATTTATATCTCAAGTACAACAGTGAACACCATTTGCCTTTTAGTCATTATTTTCATACATTCAAACCATGATCATCATTAACTGATTAGTCTGCTAGTATTTTGTTTTTATATCGCCCTTCGATAACCTACAGGTGGAGTTCCCCCGGAGATGTACACAAGGCTCCCTCGACATGTTGTGTCACGATCTGGCTTTGAAGGTTGCATGGCCTCACTTGACCTTAATGGTGAAGCCCCAGACCCTGCCGGAAAGGATGTTCCTATCATGGCCAATCATGTGTACCCTGGCTGTGAAGGTCAGTATTGGCAGGTTTTGCAAGCTGTCATAATTTGTTAAATGAGCTTTTAATTTATGTGAAATGACATAAATTCTAACATTAAGGTTTAATAATTTAATTTGTGATTTAGTAACATCATTGAAATTTTTGCTTTATGGTTTCTCACAATTCAGGTCCCAGTACTAAGTGTCATAGAAATGCCTGTGCCAATGGTGGAAATTGCATTCAGCAGTGGAATTCTTACTCCTGCAACTGTGACATGACTTCCTTTACGGGCCCTACGTGTTCTGATGGTCAGTTCTTGCTGCAGTTCAGTTGCTTTGTATATACGTACATACTTTTTTTTCCAACTATCTTATTATTTTCAAACCAATCTCTTAGTTCTTGTTATTCATTACAACAAGAATAGATGGGTAAATTCATATCACTGATAGCAAGTTGTATACAGTACTGTATTGGGCATTTATATGGTACAGGGTATCAACACCATGTTAGGTTGGGAGGTACAGTATTCAGTTGCTGTTTGTCACATTTCATTGCCATCCAATAAAAGTGAGGCATACACTTCTTTTAGTAACAGTTGCTGCACCTGTAGTGATGTCCTTTAGAAATTTTGTCATAATTATAGCACTCTGCTTCTTTGATCTTTTTGCACTACAGCATTCTGCTAGTTCTTTCAACCACTCACATATTTTGCCTTCAAAGTCGTGTAAAAAATTTTCAGAGTCAACTTCATATGAGTTTGGTCGTGGGACTGGTCTCCTGACCTTCCAGTATCCTGATGGTCGCTGGCCGGACTCTCAAAGAGACTTATTGGCCCTTGGGTTTATGACCAATCAGGAGGATGCTGTGGTCCTACGTCTGGACTCTGCCAACTCCAATGACTATATGGAATTGGAAATTGTAAGTGGAGAAGTTTTTTTAGATTCCTTTAAAATACTGTACCTGTATACTAAATACTTGTAGACTGTACTTTAATTAAGAAAAAAATGAATCATCATCTGTCTGAGTATTTGGATAATTTTATATGAAATTTATTAGCATTGGGAAATACTCTGTCCTATTAAGGAATTCTTCTGAAGTATTTATAGCTTATTTCTGAAGAATTAATTGCTGGCTAACAAGCCGATCAGTGGCGAAGAGGATAAAATATTCATGATATTTTATTAAGTAATAATTTTGGCATAACAGCTATTGAGATATATTATGCAGTTTTAGTATGATACTATAATTGTTTTACAGTTATTGGATTCGCTATTATTAAAGGATGTTTTAATATCTCACAATTTTCAAACTTTTTATCATCATATTACATAACATATTATACATAATCTACTTATTCCTGACATACTTATGATGTGGCGTTGAACTTTCCTTATTTATTATGTACCATGTACTTCCTCATTGTCTTACATTCCTTTTACTTTAGACTCGGATTTATGATACAGTGCATTTAGATCCTTTTGAAAACAAAACATGATAGACAGTTTTGATGTAATGAAATAAAGAAATGCCCTGTGTTACCTCATCAAGAGAATTAAATCCAATGAATATTTTGTACACAAGCAACGCTAAAATAAATTTTACCACTGAAAAAAAAATCTACACTATACTGTAATGTATTAATACTGTAAACTATTTTAAATGCCTTTTCACCATTCACAGGTTGAGGGGAACATATTTGTGGTGTACAATATGGGCACGGAGGATCATCCCATTGGTGAAGCTATGTCGAAAGTCAATGATGGATTGTACCACGTGGTTCGTTTCATCCGTTCTGGCCCAAATGCTACTGTCCAGATTGATGATTATGAAGTTCGTGAAAAGAATCCCTCAGGTGTGTTGAAACTTTATTTAAGTTTAAAGGTGTTTAAAACTGATAAAGAGTTGACTAGTAATACCCTACAATTTAAAATTATTTTAGTTTGGAAGGTTTTATTTGTGAGTGATTTACGGTGGATTACAGGTTAATAATTAAGAAACTGTACTATACTGGAATAGAAGAATGATAATGATGCTTAGGAGTTATTTCTGTTAATTATTCTCACGGGTATAATTAAAATACTGTATCAACATTTAGTATGAGGTACAGTTTTGGCTTGTAAAAGATTACCTCTCCCTTCGGCTGTAATTGTAAATGTCATCAGAGAAAAACATCATTTGAAGATTTATCATAATTATAAGCTCCTCAAAACTTTGTCCTGTGTAGTTCATTTGAAAATACAGTAGCAACTTCCTCACCTTTTTGCAGAGTCCTGTGAAACCAGCATCACTTTTTGTTTGATCTTTTTATGAAATATTTCTGAACTAATGTGGTTGTATATCATAAAGTCTAAAGGGGACATAGGATACTGATTAACTATTAATGGAGATTAAAAATAACTTAGCATTCAATATCGAACCTTTTGTTATGAATTGAAAAAAAAATCACTTTGACATGTTTCAGACTTATGCATTTAAGGTATTTTGCTAATCCAGTACTTTCACTGTGCTTTGATTAGTCAATGTTGGAAATGGAAATTTAAGAAATTTGCTATATATTCTTCTCGGCATAAATCATTATTTTAATGTTTCTACTGCTTTGCCAGAGCTTGCTTTTATAAACTGTATATATTTATTTGTGACAATATCCAATGTGCCATCTGTAGATGGGAAAATGCTGTAGCAAATAACCCTATAAGCATTTACACAATTACAATATATTACATTCAATGCCTTTAAAGAGATAATTTTGCTGCCTTATTCTACTAACTTGCATAATACACTATTAATTCACAGGAGTTTGCTATAGCAAATAATTCTAGAGTAGTTTTGGCAGGGCCTTGATTTCATGGGTTGTAATTATTAAGATTAGAGGACCTTGCTCTAGAGTACTGTATAATCTTTGACAGTTACCCCAACTCACCATGAAGCAATGTGGCTCCAGCTCTCTCACAGACTAGATGCACATCTTGGTAACCAGCAACCAAAGGACATTAGCAAAATTTAACCTCATTTCCTTACAGAGAATGTTGAGCATTCTGACCACAAAGTGTTGAAGAGCCTCAGATCTAGGAGCTGGCATGGTGAGAATCGTCCCTTACGCTCGGAATAAGACACACTTTACATTAATTTTGTTTCTGAAGCATATGACCTTTGTAGCTTCTGATGGGTCTTCCATTGTGGCAGTCTCAGCAGTAAATCTCTTGGCATTAAAGTAAATTTCACTGGAGTTCAGTCTAATAACACTAGGCTTGAAATATATTGTTTATTAATAGCATCATTTTCCCCAATAATTGAACTAGTTAGTCTGAGACTGCTACAACCGATGCACGATGTTCTTTGCACACTGGATCCTCACCACAACTTTTGTCTCACCACATACTTTCTTATGCACAATGAGGTATCAGTCTTACATCAATCACAGTTTTTTTTGCGTGAACTATTATTTAATTTATGTTAAGCCACTTTATGTCCTCCGTCAGCCACCAGTATATATGATTATGTTCAAACAATATCTGCCTAATATTCATCGCAACCTTTGGCATATATCTGCTGCCGTAGTTGCCTTCTGTCTGTTACACTCTACTGTAGCTAAAACACTACCTTTGCAATACATATATACCCTCATAACTGCCTTGTAGTTACTAGTAATATCTTCATTTTGTTTCTCCAACCATCTGCACTTCATAACTATTACTAATTTAGCTTTACCTGCTGTCATTTCTACCCTTTGACTTTCACATAACTCTTACTGTGGACTTGATAGTAACATTTTCACAAGTTATCATGTCCATTTACACTTGAATATAGAATCTTTTCCTTATAGTCACAACTCAGGAACTACTGGTATACATTTCAATTCGGTTCATTCAACGCTTGTTTTTATTCTGTACAGAATTTGTTATTTCTAATTTTTGGTTAATTTTCCAATACTTTTTAAGTTTAAGATTCTCTCATTGCACTGAAATTTTGCAAGAAAATCAAAATTAAACGATTAGCTATACAGTATTTGTTTGTTTTTCAAACGTGTGTAGTTTTTTATATCACTTTTATTTCAGTTTTTCCATACAATTTTTGTTAGTTTTAGCAGAAGAATATGAACTAAAAATTACTTATCTAAGCTATTAATCTGAAAATTCCTTAGATTACAGAATACAGTAGTACTTAAAATAAGTCTAAGAGGGTGCCTTATAGTGTAAACACATAGGCCAACCATTAGAAATATTTGGGGTTGATTACAAAGTGACATACAAATACCATGAGATCCAGAATAATTGTCATCAGTAGGAAGGATGATGTAAGGTTATCAGCTTATGATTAGATGAATTCACTTTATTGATTAACAACATTGCAATATTACAATGTTGAATAAAGTAAAATAAAGTTGTATCACACTAAGTAATGTAGTTCAGTACAACAGGTTATTCATGTACAGTCACCCACAAAAGTTCTGTCACCTCTCTTGCTGTTCCATGAACCCCAAGATTCCGATTTAAGATCCTGAAGCAGTAGCCGCTGATGCATTATTCTGTCCTTAAATGCTTTGGGGTTCATGGTTCAGGAGGAGAGGCGACAAGACTTTTGTGGGTGACTGTACCTGTTCGTTAAGGGATGAGAATACACGACATCTGTTTAATCATATTCAATAACCAGTGGAATGGCAGTATAAATACCTGTACTGTATATTAAAGTAAGAAGAAATTTGTTTTAAAAGTTACCCGGTAATAATAAAAAATTGTATTCTGATGTGTATCTGGTTTTGTGAATACAGTACATATTTAATGATTCATTTACAGTCATGAGCATTATGACAGATAATGTAGGCAACTACAGATGTAAGACTTTCTAGTTGTGGTATGCCAATAAAAAGAAAATGCGTTTCAGGTTCATATACTTAACTTAGAAAAATATAAGTTTGCAATTTGATTATTACACAAGAATAAGCTAAAAAATTTTGCTTTCATTTTATATCTCTGCAGCCTTACTTCAAGAGGTAACCCCTCACTCCCTGCTTATTTTTTTTCTATTTTGTTTTCTTTTTTTACTTTTTGTCTCACAATCACTAATCTTGAACTTTCAACTCTCATCTTTTACTCCAGACTTTTTATGAAACATTAGAACTTTTAAAACCCTCCAATTCAAGTCAGTCATTGACATTTCCAGATGTAATGTTCCAGACAAGCATTTAACTTTATCGCCAAACTTGAGCTCACTCAGGAAGTCGTCTTCAGACAAGTTTCATTCTACATGACTAAAGTCAACCATAACCCCAAACTTCCTTCTGTCAGTGGAAGGGAGGCGGGAGGGTGCCGGCTCTCCTTGCCATCCACCGCGAGATGCATGAATCAGACCCCAAGTCTAAGTCATGCGCTTGAGGCTGTACACAATGATGCTATTGGTTCTCTTATCTGGCAACAGTTCCTCAAGCAGTGACTGAGAATCTGGCTTCTCACTGGAGTAGACCCCATAATTCCACTTCAGGAAGACTTAACTAAAAAATTATTACATATACTTTTCAATAAATACTGTACTCTTTATTCAGAATGTTTTTATATATTTAATGTTACAGTAATCGAAAACCTTAAAATAATATGACAGTAAAGCTAAACTAAAACTAGTTTTCTAAGTACACTGTATTTTTGAAGTGGATTTCTGGAGGGGGACCCCAAGCACCGCTCCCTCACCGCATGGATTGGATTATTTCAGCACATATTTATGTATATACAATCTGCACCAATTATATCACAATCTGTTGGGACAACAGGGCCAAGAAAGTATCAGTGGCAGCAGAAGTCTCATCTGGTGTAAACGGTCTGTTTACTTCAAGGGATATTAACAGATTTAGCAGTACGTAATAAGTTTTAGATATACTGTATTGAGTCTTATATTTTACTCTGCAATGAGCTTACTGCTGTCACTGCTGTCTCCCCTGTTATGCACTTTGTTACCTGAGCAGTTGTCAGCTCACCTGGTACAGTATTTGGTACTTTCAGGACACAATATATGCCCTTTGTCTTAGCCACTGTGACTAGTAAAGGTAACCAGTATGAGGTTTTAAAGGACAATATTGTTGCCCTAGGAAAGACAGACAAGCTCGGTCATCTAATCCAGGAAATATCACTAGTTGTAATGGAAACTGTCAGTCAGCTTATAATATAGTTGTAAATATTGATGAATTATGGGTTACCTTTATTGGTATAATTTTATTCACATGTTTATCTTAGATATTGGAATCCAATAACTGTTGATGGGGAAGTTCAAAAGAAGGTTGTAAACTGATACAGCCTGTATTTATGTCTGATTAATGTGGAAACAGTATACTGATTTACCGTAGTTATTTTGTTACGTGTATTAAGGGAACTAAATATTTAAATTTCTGAATATTATTTTAATTATATTACTAACCTTACCCCATTTTTAAAACTAGAATCACAATTACAGTATTTTGAGATCTTTTTAAATTACCAAAATAAATATTTGGGATGACAAATTTGGATTCTTTTACATTGCAACATGAAAAACAGGAAGAATATTGGAATGATTTCTTGCATATGTATATCATGCTGGTGCTTCTCCTGCAGGTCACCAACTGTCCGTGTTCAATGCTCAGGCACAGTTGCAAGTTGGTGGACGTAGAGCCAAAAGGTCTGCATCAATTGAGAGGCCCTTCCAGGTGAGTTATTGCTTAATTTGTTTTCAACTTAAAAAACACAAATACAGGGGTACTATAGGAGTTCTTTTTATCTTTGAGTGAGAAATTTGCAGCCCAGTTACAGGTATTCCTTGGTTAACACACATTCACACAACTTTTTTTCCTTTTTACACAATTCACCAATTAGGAACACTTTTGGGGAAATATGATCTGCTTTCAGTTTAATAAGATAAACAGACATATTTGGGGCAATGCTTCTTTGAATTCCCAGAATCCAACTACGTACAGTATAGGAAAGACCTGAGTTATGATGGGAGTATGTCTGCCAATTTACCAACATACGTTGAATTGCTGTATCTAGGATCTTTAATGTCCATTCACTGTACTTAATCCTCTTCACCACTGATTGGCCTGTCAGCTGCTTGGGTAGTCAATCACATTTCTGTCTTGCATTGTTGGCAAGGACGTGACATGCATTGACTCCAAATTGTGTGTGCACCTTTGCTAGTTTTGGTCAAGTCTGGTGACTGGTCTAGAATGAGCTCACACTTAGTGCCATCACAACACTCTCTGGCAGATTGTTCCAAAAGTTAACAACTCTTACTCCAAAATATTTTGCCTTGACAATTTTCTGAACTTCAAGCTTTTTTATTTTTAACCTAAGGCTGTAACCTCTAGTATTTAAAGACTTCTATAAGTCACCCCTTGCCCACATATAGTATAAGCTAGGCAACTTCAGGTTCTTCATTGTTTAAATTGAATTTGCTTTCCTGCTCACAAAAAATATTACCATTTTGTCCAAAAAAGTAAGACAAATGTGCAAATTAGAGTAGATAATGCAGAAAAATTTAATTTTATTAATAAATACAGTATGTATAGGTACAGTAAGTCCATGAATGGGGAAGTTTCCAAAAATATTCATTTGGAACTCTGAACTAAATTTTTCAGACACAATTTTTGCCAAGAAAGCCATTTTAATCCACAATTAAGCTAAAATATTATGTATTTGTGATGAATAATAGAAGTTTAATGTGTAAAATCCAATTGTCTAGAACAGGGGTCACCAAACTACGGCCCGCGGGCCGGATCCCAAGTCCTTCCCCGGCTCATGGTAGCTCCGCCTACGCTCTGACGTTACCAGAGCTTTCGTTCTGGCTTGCAAGTATTGAACAGAATGATTATGCGGCCCGCGCTCGTCATTCTTTCAGTTATCCGGCCCACTGTGAGAAAAGTTTGGTGACTCCTGGTCTAGAACTAGGAATACGAGAAAGCCATACACTTTTACGACTACAGTACACTGTACCATGTGACAAGATTGTGCAATGGACCATAAATGCAGATTGGATGTCAGTTTAATTAGATATCAGAAAATTATAACTCAAGGCTTTCCTGTACAGGAACACCCTGGTTATTAAATACCATTATTCAGGGGTTATGACACTTCAAAGTTATGAACAAGCCAGGCAAGCCTACCAGAACTTAACCAGTGGCATATGAATGGTCACTTAGAATTGTGAACGAAACATTAGGAGCATTAACGGTACAGTACTACAGTATTTCAATGGCAGAGGATCACTACCATCCTTCAGTTTAAGTGTGACTGTATTTGTATTGAATTTCCATTCTATTTACTTAGTGCATACATACAGTACCTGTACAAATTATACTAAGCATATAATACTGTGCACACCTTTTACATGTTTTCCATAGGGATTATTAATTTCAGTTGACACATTTTCACTAAGCACAATACATTTTGGGAATGAATGTAATGTGTCAACCAAGGATTTCCTGTATGTTGAATCATTATCATAAGGTATTTACCATACAGTTTTAATTGCAAACATGATTCTGTGAATATTGATTGAAAAAGGCTTGTATAATCCCATAAAAGCCATTGAGTGAATAATTTTAGTTTCAGTTGTGTTCAAACAGAAAACACTTGTAATCTGTCACTTTATATCTTTTGGTACATGAGACAAAAACTAAGTAAGAATGAAATTGATTTTTAAGTTGAGTCATTAAGATGGCATAAATTAATATATCCCCATATGACAAAATACTGTACGTACTGTAGTGTATAGTACTTTCAGATTTTTTCTAAAAAAATATGGTATACAATACAGTATAATGCAACTTTGTTTTTCATCCAAATGGACAACATTTACCTTGAATATACAAAGTTTCTTTAATCAGTTTTAATCCTTGAGTGTTTTCCATGGGGACAGTTTATTTTATTGAACAAACATTAAGCTTCTTTCCCAATAATATATGGTATATAAATAAGTATTTCTATTTCCAGGGTTTAATGTCTGGATTGGTGTTGAATGGTGAGCGTCCCTTAGACTTGGCAGCTGAGCGGGATCCCAGAATAAATGTCCGGGGAGATGTTCACCTCGTGATGAGTCTCCCCCGTGCCCTCCCTGACCAGGTCGCTTCTGCTGAATTTAACCCTTGGCAACAGGTAAGTCGAATGACTGAATTTGTGAAAATTTTATTTGAATCATGTAGGCATTAGTTTGATGGATTTCAAAGATATACAAGTACTATACTATTTAAAAGTCAAGATACATTCAAATACAGAACATACATTCGTAAGATATTCAGCAATAAGTAGTGCAACATCTGCCTCTCTGTTCATTGCTCTCGGCTTTCTTAGGTAACCTTAGGTAACCTTAAACATGTGATACTGGTGTTTGTCATTTCTATATTTTTTAATGTTCATCATTATATTATGATTTTTATTTTCTTTCTCTAGACACCTTCACAACCAGGTCCATCACCAGGGGAAGGGGATGACCTAGTGTTCAGTGGTGCTGGGTCTGGCTGTGACATGGATGATGAAGACGAGTGCATACCGGTGTTTGACACAGGCTCAGGTAAAACTCAGAATTAATCGTACCTAATTCTTATCCTTATTGACAAAAATATGTATTTCTGTCATATTGCAGATATGTTATATAATTTATTTGCTATTAAGGTAAAATAGGCAATATAAAATGTGTGTAAAACTTGATGGTTTCATTTGCCATGTTTCCAAACAGTTTATTTTTTCATATACTGTATAATATAGTATAGTATAGTATAGTACACGGTGTACAGTATAGTATAGTAGTACAGTAGAGAGGTTGCTTTAAACCGAATTTGCACTAAATTGAGGTGTTGTTTCAATGGAATAAATTAGTTTGGTACTTGAGAGAAACACAAAATACTAAAAAGACTGAGTCTACCCAGATGCACCTCAGCCCATCTCCTAGAATAAACAAAATGTTTTTTGTAGTATTATGTTAAAACAAACCTTCATAAATCAACACAGCTAAAATTAAGGGATATGAAATGATTTGTTTACTGGCTGGAAAGATGGGGGGAGTGAGGGAGGTGAGTTGATATGTTTGACAGTTGGTGCCAAGGTCTAGTGCTTATTTATTAATCTGTGCTTAAAAGTGACGTTTTTCTCTTATAAATGTCACTGAACTGACATAGGAGAATATAATTAACATTGCCGGAATTCTTATAAGATAGTTATTAATTTGAATAAAAACATGTTATAGCTAGCATTAGACATACAAATTTTAGTTCTAATATAAGAATTTTACTACAAAGAGCAAAAACTTTTATCTCTTATGCAAAATATATGACGTTTATATTCAAAATATTCACTGTCTTGTAAGGATTCCAGCAATACAAATTATAATCTCCTAACTTTAGTCTGTGACATTATATAAGATAAAAACTTTAAGCCTAAAACACCAAACCCTGGCTGGGAAGATGGGGAGAAAGTGAGGAAGGGGAGCAGTGACATGTTTGACAGTTGGCCCAAAGGTTTAGTGAAGTATTTACGTATTTGTTTATTTATGTCCTTTAGTTTGAGTTTATGTTTTTTGCTTATAAAATGTTACAGTAGTGACTGGGAGAATATAATTTACATTGCTGGAATTCTTATAAGATAGTGATTAATTTGAATATAAACATGTTAGAGTTTGCACTAAACAAAAATTTTAGTAATTATTTAGTACCTGTACATTATTTTGAGTATATGTACAGTACAGCTTTGCCCTAAGGACAGCGTAGCGTACCCAGAGAAACATTAGGCGCAAAATTTTAAATATGATGCGCCAGATTGACTCTTGACTCATGCAAAATAGGAAAGATTCGATTTAAAATAAAACATTGTCCTTAATTGTGGGCGTCGCTTTAATCAATAATCTTAAATTGAATTGCTTTACATCGACGTTCGACTGTATAGTATAGTATAGTATTATAGTATAAAAATTTATAGAAATCATAGATACAGGTATTCTGTTTTCTCAACTAATGAATAAAGTTTACTTTTCTCCAGGTGATGATCTCATTACACCTGTGTACATCCCACCAACACTTCCACCTGTGACCAAGCCCTCCCCAAGGCCGAACATACCAAGTCAGGAAGGTGGTGTGGGTGTTCGCCCATGTGATGATGAAGAGGACTGTTACATTGGATCAGGCTCAGGAGAATTCAACACCGAATATGGTGTGATGACTGATTCAGATAACGGTAAGTAGATTATTGATGTATAAGGATAAGGTTATGGTACATTTATCATTAACAAAATAGTAAATTGTTTGAAAAATATTTACTGAGCTGGGTTAATTTTGGCTGATGCAACAAGCCTTCACATTTTAAAAAAGAATGATTTGGTCAGGAAGATTTTCTTGGATGGCTTATCTCTGCTTCAGGAAATTATAGTTGAAACTTTAGAGAAAGGTTTTTATGCAAGTTTATCCGTATTCTTAATTTAAAGAGACGATTAATTAAAAAATCTATGAACTTGTAATGAAAACTGAAATTACAAAGTTTGGTATTTGAATGTGTAATGATAAGTGTAGGTTAGTGTTCCTCTAATACTTGAACACGGTTTACACAATAAAAAGAATAAATTTCTTTGTACTGAATGTTTTGTAAGGAGCTTCAGAGACCTACATTCTATCCTCCCACCAGGACTGGCTCTAAGGTTGTTAGCACCCCAGATAACTTAAACCTTGAAGCCATAAGACACGCAGTACTTTTTTATTATAAGAAAAACTACAAATATCAGAATATGTATAGAATTTATTATAGACATTAAAGGTAAAAGAAAATATTCAAATGCATCATTAGTCATTCAAAACCTTTCATTAAGACAAATTCAATAAATTCTACATATTGTAAAATTTTGTGAGTAAAATTGAAGACAATGTACTGTCCAAAAAGTTTATATGCCCCAGGCAATAGTAACTCTAAAGAGAATTTTATTGATTTATTTATGTTACCCAGAACAGAAGCCCCTTACTTCGAATAGATGCTTTAGATTAAGCAAAGATTTGCCATTCTCCTTTTCAATTTTTTATTACATAACTCTATTTGCATCAGCCAATAATTAATCATTATACATTGCACTCCTATGGCATCAAGATCATTCAATAACAGGTAACTTAAACAAAATCATAACAAACTTTATGATTACAGTACTGTACAGTTATATTGAAATGACAGGCCATGAACAAGTACCCTCCACTTTTTAATAGTTAACTTTGATATCCAGAATCAAATGCCTAAGAACTGTATGTGCTATTACCAAGAAAATTCTTAATTTGGTAATATAAATGGAAACATGCTTAACTTAGTGACATTACCATGACAATTTTTCACGTTGCAACCTTGAGAAAATTTTACTCTTGGTGAGACTAACTGATAAAAATCTACACTAGATAATAATTATTAACCTATATATTCCTACACTAGATAACATTAAACATGATAATTCTGCACTAGGTGATATTAACTAAGATTATTATACACAAAGTGATCATTCATCTTGAACCTTATGATAATTTCACATTTGATTATTAGTAACTTACATCCTTCTACAACATGTATCCCATAAACAGGGACCATTAATTGAGATCACTTTATGACAAGTAACTCAAAGCCAAACAAGTTAACACTAGGTGATGTGATTCACATAATTTGATTTTTTTTTACTTCCTATCAGGTGATGACAGAGACCTTGAATTTCAAGCAACTCACCATCCAATGCTTGCTCCAGATGTCATTCACTCTGAAGAGCACGACCAATCTACTACTGACTTGGGGCAACCTAAGAGGGATCCTGGCTCTGGACCTACTACCACAACAACAACATCGACCACTACAACCACTACCCAGACCCCAAGAACAAAACAACGACCACGGACCACAACCACCACTCCAGCTGGTGCTCCTCCTCCCCGACAACAGCCACCTTATACATCAGATTATGACTATGGTGATTACATCTTCCCGAATGTGATCCCCACTGACACTCGTGACAAGTCACGTGTTATAGAGGATCCCCTCGACCAGATTCATAGTGATGTAGCCGGAAGTGTTGCCCTCTTCATCAGTATCATTGCAGGAGCTCTCATCATTATTATACTTATTGTATTGCTTGTACTTAAATTTAAGGGACGTCAGGATGGCGCTTATAAAGTTGATGAGAGTAAAAACTATGAAGGTATCCCTACCATGCCAACCCCCATGATCAATGGTCAAGGGAACGGCGCTATAAAGCCTGGGGACCGAAGGCCTGTAAAGAAACAAAGTAAGGATGTCAAAGAGTGGTATGTGTGAGTATTAGGCATTTATATTGAAGAATTATATAATGTAAAGTCTCAAAATTACGACTGTGATCTCTATTCTTTTGCAATACCTCTACAGTGATAGAAATATATGCTCCCTTTCATTCTGTGTTAATATATTAGTTTATGAATATACGTCTATCAATCCTTATTCAGTCATAAAGAAGAATAGCTTTGAGAATGTTTTCTACTTGGAAACTATTGTAAGTTAACACTTCAGAGACTGAAATTTGGTTTCCAGAAATTATGTTGTAGATTAAGTCTTGCAGTGATGTTTGAATACCAGTGCCCTTGAATGTTGCTGCTTCTATAAGATTCCATTTTTTGTAAGTATCTACGGTAGTGAGTGAAGATGCATAGTCTAGTTAAAAGTGTGAAAAGTAGTGTAAGTGTATGATTGAAAGTTGGACTGATTGAGGGTCAATTTGCCCGTTTTTCTCTGAAGGGTTGATTTAATTTACATTTTCTTTGAACTTACACGTGCAGTCGTGGTTGCAAACGTCCATTGTAGAGCAAGAGTATTGTTAGTCGTCAAGCTTTACACTGCTGTCACAACTTCTGTGATCCAGAGGTTGTGACACATTTATTAAAAACTTTCCTAAACAAAGCTCTTTAAATAGAGAAGACTGTTATCAAGATGATGTACAATACTAAGCCCTACGAACACTTAAGAACATTGCTTTGCAAACATGCGAACATGGTCAGTGCTTTTCCTCTTCATATCTAGCCCTAATATTATAGCACAAAGAGCAAAAGTTGTCACAACACTAGATTGGTTTAGAGCCATGGTGTGCATGCCTTTGTGTTGATATGTTTATACTGTACATGTATTGCAGATCGGCCCAATTTCTCTTCTGTCAGAGTTCTGGTATAGCTGATGTAAGCCTCTCCTGTGACATGGATACTTGGTGAGAGTAGCTCTGTCAGCTAGTATCAGAGTCTGGTGTCCTGTGCCTGTTTCCTGTGAGGTGGAGTATAGACTACCTACCTGGAAATGGTATTCAGAGCAATCGGTTGGTAATTAACAATCTGGGGGTCTTATATTTCCATTTGTTCTCAAATTTTCTAGAAATCTTGCTCTGAATACTACTACCCCATCTAAACTATTAAGCATTATGATGACATTGGTCTGTGTAGTCCACAAATTATAGAAGACACTGAGGTAAGGAAAGTGGGTCCTCTAAGAAAGCAAGATATATTTATGTAATTGAGAAGTTATATGGTTTTGGTTAGATTATGAAGTTTATTGTTAGATGTAGTATCAAGTTGGTGACCTGTAGGACATTATTTCTACATTGATAAACAAATTTATACATTATTAATCCTGAACTGTGTCTTATCATATACTAGTCTCAAGACTCCTCATTCTCCTCTTTGGGTTAAACTTCATTTTACGAGTACAGTACGTACATACCCGGTAGTACCTCAATTTAGAGAAATGTCACAAGTGTGACATATTGATTTCTGTAGTCTCAGGATCAAGTACAGTATTTAATTAACTAAAAACTATCATCCTTTACAGTCTTCATTAAATTAGTAAGTTGGCAACCCTTGGTGTGAAGAGTTAGCTTAGTCTGGGGCCTTGACTTGTTAAATGACAGCTCAGTGCACACCAAACAATGCTTCATCAATCCTACTTAGCCCTGGGACCAGCCTCTTATCTCTTATTATTTTGGAAGTCCAGAATGCTACTGAACCAAATTTTTTTCTTCTAAAACTTTAATCATGTGGTATAGCCAAAATTGCTAGTAAAGTGTCCTTGTAACCATTGATCCAAAATTTGTCTTACACACTACTCTTGTCACTTTTAGTTTAATTAATACTGTCACTGTGTTAAAGAGCTTGGAGACAGATAATCAAAAGACAGACAGCGTGGCATGTGGAAGAAATATTCTGAAACCCTAGCAATGTATTCACTGACATTAATATTATGCCAAGGTCTTGATGGTTATACTGTACTGATATATTTACTTTACATTTTAGACATTGTGCTGTTCACTGATAATTATTTGAATATGCTAGTAAGAAAGCAAATTATTAATGCTTTCAGTTAAGGTGGGTTCCATGTATGTGATAAGTAGTTGGCTGGAATATAAGTGTTTATTGGACTTAATCTTCTCTTTGCACCCTTGTCACTGGCTATTGTCATTATTATGGATTTTCTGGTAAAGATAATAGATTTCAATATGACTTTAACAGGCCATCACCATGGGAAAAGATAATGGTGTTTAACAGGACATTATGAATGAACTACTCGTTTGGTATTTTTTCGTTTCTTATAATGAGAATAAATTTCATCCTTGATGATGATCTCAGGTTTGACAAAATTTCAGTCCACTAATACCCTTTCTCATGGCTGATAATTACACACTAATATGTAACCTTGATAATGTCATGAAAAGAGATCATGGCCAGTATATTTAGTTCTATATTAGATTGAAAGGTCACTAATTGTATATTACAATTACACCACAGACTTTCTCAGTTTATTTTGTATCTACAGTATTGAACAAAATTCTAAATTCTGTATACAGGAATTAACAGTCAGTCATGGAAATTACTGTAGTATTCCACATTAAAATTGAACTGCCTAATGCTTGTTCTTGGTTTAAATATTCTGTTATGAGTTAATAAGTTCTCTTGTGATTGTCTGTTAAAAACCAGCACATTCTATCACTAATTAGCTGTAGCTACACATGACCATCATAGTGTATCAGTGTACTGGACAGTGTTTCAGAGTCATAATATGGGTACATAAATCTGCAAAATTCTTACTGATTTTTGAAAGTATCTTATTATATAATTACAATACGTACTAACACTTAAGTGAGGGACAATTTACATACCAATGGATTTTAGAATCTTTCATGTGAACACTGTAAGATCTTTATATCACAGAGTGCTTGAGATCCTATTATGCAGCTTCTGAACCACATGTAAACTACCTCTGGAGGGCTCCATGACAGCAGTACATGTCTAGAGAAAACGTATGTGGGTCACCTTCCTCCAGTTCCTCAGTGGCTCCTACTCCACCTCACCAAATCCTCCTTACTATATATTTCTCACCTAATACTCGTCCAGTGCCCTGGGCGTCATTGTGTTAGCTGTTGGTTGCAAAGCACTGTTTGAAAACTTTGCACTAATTGCTTTAATATATGTGAAGGTTAAAGCTGTTGTCTATTGTGAAAGGTAGGATAACATTGTATTTGTTATGAGTCAAATCACTCATTAAGGTTAGGAAACATGTTGCGATATTAAAAGTACCGTAAGAAATATCATATCTTGCAGGACTTTGTTGCGTGTTGACATATTTGTATATCTTCATTTCCCAACACCCCTAAAAATACTCCTAAATCTGATTTTTGTTAATTGGTACATCATTATTGTTTAATAAAAACGAAAGTTACGTGTAAATAGTTCTAACATTAAATATGTTAGATATAACATCTGTTATTTATTACCCAATTACTATTGTATTTTTTTCAACTCTTGATTTCTTAGCAGTAAGGATGAAGTAAGCAGTGTCAAAGTCAGATTTCATATTCCATTTCAGGCTATTGAATGGAAAGTAATCCATTGAAGCTGTGGGGGTTTTCCATATGGCAATACAAAGTATGTTGCAACCTTCCTGTTCTCTTAAAAAAAAATTGCAGTCAGCACCCAATAACATATGAAACAACAACAGCAGATTCTAGCACTTCACCTAAGCCTCAGATTTGATAATATAGTGTAACATATTTCTACTATCCAAACACAGCACATAAAAAGAGCAAAATCTCCCATAGGTGGGATATTTACCACTTTCCAAGAATTATTAGAACAAGATATTGAACTTGCAAGTTGCTTTATTAATTCCAAATGCTGACATGGACCTGACAATAATGTACTCTTGATAATTTGGCATATTAGGGGCTCTGACCTTGCACAAATACATGTATTGTACTGAATTTATTTTATTAGCTAAATTTTCAAATTTTAGCAACCATTTTGGTGTGCCAAAATTCACCACACTATATCAGCAAACATGGAGATAAGTTACTGCTACAAGGTGGCCAAGCACAACATACAGTACATACTGTATTTACAAAGTAATAAGCATTATAAACAAAAGTATTATAAAGAATACTGCCATGTACTCTGATGTTGCTGAAGAATGAAGTGAAGAACATGTCCATGGTGACTGAAGATAGTTGTTGGAGAGCCCCATAAGACTATGCAAGCACTGCTTATTTATATTTGCTATTTCACCACACACTTCTTCTGGGTCATCTTCTATGTGCAGTATTTTCTCAATTTAACAAACTAATTTGAAGCTACCCGTTTGTTAAATCAAAATTTACGCTAAAGCGTCCTTTCTGTTATGTTCGCGCAATTTTCCGAACTATGGGAACAAATTTAAGCCCTAGAACGGATTACTGTATTGGCGGACTAATATTCCAGCTGGTGAGCAAGCGAAAACATGTTGAGAGGAATTCGTAAGGAATTCGTTAACCGAATTGAAGATTCTTATAGAAGGTAATGCGTAAACCGAAATTTCGTTAACCGAATTGAAGATTCTTATAGAAGGTAATGCGTAAACCGAAATTTCGTCAACCGAGGGATCACTACACCTAAAACGTTCGAGTTAAATCGCGTTACAACCAACACGCGTTCGCGTTTTACAAATATCGTTCTTCTATTCATCAATTGCTTTATAGCCAATTTGCGTTGACAAAACACGTGTTGGGCACTATGGACAGGATCTCAACTTTCATTGAAAGGCATCTCAAAGGTGCATATGCCTTGGAGGCAGCTGACCTGGAGACCCAACCTAAAGGAAACACAAGCTGAAAAATTTGTGCCATACACGTTGGGTGCAACGCCTAGATGCCCTAGAAACCTTTGTGGAATTACATCACTCATTGGTGGCCTGCATGGAGGACATTGTGGAGGGTGGTCCTGGCAGCTGGTCTACAGACTCACTGACTGATGCCCAGGCCCCACTGCTTGCCATCACCAGCACAGACTTTATTGTGTCCCTGGTTGTAGAGGGAGGCGGGGTGGGGATAATTATGTGGTCTTTTTTATGAATTTTTATTTTGTTTTAATTTATTTTATCTTTATTCTTTTATAAATTAATTTAATTATATTTTATAATTCAATTTCTCAAAGTATATTCTATGTTCTGTTACTTTTCTCTTATCTAATTATATTCCCATCTTAGGTTTACCTGGGAACCCCCTTGTTACCTTACAATCTTCAATACTCACGGTAGCTGCCACCACCCAAGTTTTTCTATCAGAATATATTTCATAACATAACATTAACCGCTTAAATATGACACTTGGTTGGTAGTAACGTGCTAGGCTTGTGAGTTCTAATGTATTCACTGGGAGAATGAAAGGTAGATACTGCAGTGGTAATGATATCACAAAAAACATTAAGATTATTTATTGCAATGAAGTTGAGTATAGAACACATCAATAGAACACAAACACATGAACCACTCTTTGGGGGTTCACACAAGACTTGGCCAAATTTACGTTAACACGGATACAAATTATAAGGAACCACTTGGCCCTACTTTCAGTTTAGCAAAAACAAATCTTTAAATTTAACAGAAGCAAAGTTCATTAGAAAATACTACATCTTACTGTAACATTCTATGAGTGACACACGAAAATAATTAATCGGTTAATATTTGTCCATTGGCTCTCTGCAGGTTCCTGCCATGTTTGCCTGAGGTTATACTCCTCACTTATAGTCAGTTGTCTTCTCCCTGTAGGTTAGGTAGCTTGGTTTATTTGGTATGAGAAAAGGTTTTCTTTTGTGTATTTTGGGGGTGTTTTACTTAAATTTGACCTCCATTTTTGTGCAAATTAACCGTATCTGTTAAAAGTGAAAATGTAAATTTTTTGCAAACACTGCTAATTTCCACAAGAATTGAAGGTCAATTTTGAGTAAAACACCGAAAAACATAAAAAAAAATCTTCTCATACTAAAACCTAAGAACAGCCAATGGATGAAAATTTACCAATGAATCTTCACAACCTATCTAATACTTCATTACTCTCCAAAAATCTGTCACAAAGCTGATATTTGTATACAATTTACACTGGGCACACACATTACAAGACTCCATGACACACTCTTACCTCTTGTCGCTTTACAACAGATGACACTTTGGTATTCATCTTTTCAGTGAGAACAATATACAATCATCCCTTGGTTATAGTGAACTTAGTTATCGCGATTATCGTTATCACGCCTCATCAAACTCTGCACACCTGCTGTTATAGCGCATTTTTCAAGCCGAAAATTTCGTAATCACGCAGTTGCCTCCAAGTGTTTTTACCCATTTGCTTCACCTACATCTATTGAGGATAAAATCTTTCACCTACAAATTTACAATAACACATTTGCTGTAATCAGACATATCTAAGTTGCCTCAACAATTTCAACCCCAGATGCAATTTCAAATTATGTGTCATTACTAAGGAATAACAAAGTCTCGGGTGCACTCTAAGATTGAGAGAAAACGGAGGACTCTGGCGTTCTGAAGCAATGAGAAAACGAACTCCTCAAACGGGGGACTCAAATAAAGAAAGCATAGCTACATGTTTTGTGGACTACAGTAATGAGCGTACCCTTTTCATCACTTTGTAATAAACCAAGCCATGTCTATGTATTTTTCTGATACTTACTATAACATTACCTATATATTTAGTAGTTCTAAATCAGCGGTGTCAAACTCAATATCTTTTGAGGGCCAATTCTTATTTTAGTTACCCTCTTCAGGGCCAACACGTGCTATACCACATATTTGCAGCATTGAAGTTTACAGCTTTACACATTGCCTAACCTGGTTTACCAGGAATACCAGATTTGGGTTTGTCTGATCTTAAGTATATAAAATTCATTTTACCAAATAAACATGATTATATCTATTTCAATCATAATTTCAAGGGATGATAAATTTTACCGTCATCCCAAGGGCCACATTTGGCCCGTGGGCCATGAGTTTGACACCCCTGTCTTACACCTTACAAATTTTTTGACTAAAATATACTTTTTCTCAGAATTGAAGTTTAAGGGGTTTAACTAATTAAGTACTTTCAGAATAACACACAAACCCTAAATCACACCATGGAAACAAATAGTTGATGAGTAATTACTAATTAGCATTGAAAAATGTCCATAAAATATTTCAAAGGATCATTTTGGCCATTAATTACTCTGCAATCGAATCGTGAACCACATAGTAATAATCAGCAAGCTCAGGAGTACCCATACTGTGATTTTCAGCAAAATCTAAATTTTGGCCAAAAACCACCAAAATGTAAGCCTTATACCTTACAAAATTTTTGACCAAAATATACTTTTTTCTCAGAATTGAAATTTAAGGGGTTTAACTAATTAAGTACTTTCAGAATAACACACAAACTCTAAATCACACCTTGGAAACCCATAGTTGATGAATAATTAGCATTGAATAATGTCAATAAAATATTTCAAGGGTCATTTTGGCCATTAATTACTCTGCAACCGTAGTCGTGAACCACATAGACATAATCAGCAAGCTCAGGAGTACCCATACTGTGATTTTCAGCAAAATCTAATTTTTGGTAAAAAACCACAAAACATGTAAGTCTTATACCTTACAAAATTTTTGACCAAAATATACTTTTTTCTCAGAATTGAAATTTAAGGGGTTTAACTAATTAAGTACTTTCAGAATAACACACAAACCCTAAATCACACCATTTTAACAAATAGTTGATGAGTAATTACTAATTAGCATTGAAAAATGTCAGTAAAATCTTTCAAAGGGTCATTTTGGCCATTAATTACTCTGCAATCGAATCGTCAACTACATATTCATAATGAGCAAGCTCAGGAGTACCCATACTGTGATTTCCAGCAAAATCTAATTTTTGGTAAAAAACCACAAAACATGCAAGTCTTATACCTTACAAAACTTTTGACCAAAATATACTTTTTTCTCAGAAATGAAATTTAAGGGGTTGGACAAATTAAGTACTTTCAGAATAACACACAAACTCTAAATCACACCTTGGAAACCCATAGTTGATGAGTAATTAGCATTGAAAAACGACAGTAAAATTAAGGTCATTTGGCCATCTCAATCGAACTGAACCACAATCAAATCAGCACAACCATACAGGCCAACACCATTAACTATACCTTACAATGACCAGAATATACTTTTCCAGAATTGAAATTTAAGGGCAACTAATTAAGTACTTTCAGAATACCCCAAACCTAAATCACCAACAAATAGTTGATGAATAACTAATTAGCATGAATAATGTCAATAAAATATTTCAAGGGTCATTTTGGCCATTAATTACTCTGCAATCGTAGTCGTGAACCACATAGACATAATCAGCAAGCTCAGGAGTACCCATACTGTGATTTTCAGCACAATCTAATCTTTGGTAAAA